TATATACAAGGTACAATAACTCAAACTATACAAGATATGTACAATAGAAACTATGAGACTAAAAAGAGGAATCATACTCAATGCTCATATAGAGCATAAGTCTAAGAAGCACCTCCTCTGTAGAAGCTTCCTCTAGTCTCCTAACCATGGTCCTTGTTAAAGGTCTAATGGCCTTCAAGTGTGAGCTTATGTCTTCACCCTTTAGCCTTCTTGATCTTATCTTTTCCAATGCAAACCTTGGGAGGTAGGTTTCCATCACCAAATTTTTCTATTTAATAATTTTGTTGGTGACTCCTTTATTTTTTTCTTTCCTCTCTTTTTCACCGTCTTCCACTGCGACTTGTTCTAGAAGACCAAGGTGACCTATAGGGTGATGCACTAAATATGCAAGTTGGAGATTCACGAATACAGCCTTGTACCAAACAAGGGTCATGAAAGAAGACTTCTACAAACAACAATACATCTAAGAGTAGGTTAGACTAGTTATATTCTCCCTCAATAATTCTTTTTCTAATTGTGATATAAGAAATTACAATAGAGTATTCTAGCTGAAACAAGAAGTGGTGGAAGCAAAAAAGTTATGGAAGATTGGGAAAGCAATGAGAGGGAATTATAAAGGTGAAGATGACCAAATTATTGATAAGCTAGTGAACCTAAAAGAATGGAACCAAACACGGGAGATGAATTAAACTGTTGAATAATGAAAATACTTTTTCTTAATGTCATAGGATTTGGGGGGATATATCAAATGACATTTCGTTAGGAAGACAGTAGTCAAAGAAGAAATTCAAGTTTTGTGTATGCAAGAGACAAAAAAAGTCAAAATTACTCAAAAGTTTGTCAATTGTTAAGTGGTGATTGTGAATTGGAATGGAAGATGGCCCATGTTGTCAGCACAATAAGAGGTCTACTCTGTGTATGAAATAAGGAAAAATTTGAAATAACTTTTCATTTTGAAGGGTCAAGTTTTTTGAGGCTGGAAGGGGAATGGAAGGATAATAAGGTAAGAATTGTTATTGTCAACATGTAAGCCTCTTGTGATAGATTACAAAAAAAGAGTGTGTGGAATGAAATAATATAGAAAAAAAAAGGGAAAGCAACAATATAAATTAATGGTGTATGACGGGTGATTTTAATAATGTTAGACATGCAAGGGAAAAATTAGGCCAAAATGGTGGTAATTATGGTGTAACAAACACAAGAGTTTAATAATTTCATCTCTAGGATGGAACTAGAAGATGTCCCTTTAATAGGTAGGGGGTTTAGATGGTACAAGCCTAATAGGACAACAAAGAGTAGGATTGATAAGATCATAGTTTCTAGAGACTTGTTTATATAATGGTTTGGAAGCTCACAATTCATGCTAAATAGAAATATATTGGATCACTACCTGAATATAGTTTAAGGCCTGAAACAATTCCATTATAGATATAGTTTATATAATGCTACAAAATTTAAATATAGTTTAAAGCCTGAAACAATTTTGTTCTTTAGACTATTGGTTTGAGGGAAAGGAATTTTTTATATTTGTTGAAGAAACTTGGAAGTGATGCAATGTCCAAGGTTAAGGTGCATATGTTCTTAAGGAAAAGCTAAAATTGCTTAATTGTAAACTAAGAAAGTGGAATTTAGTAAAGTTTTGAAACCATCATACAAGTCATACCAAAAAAATGTTGAAAGGATGAATGAACTTGATAAGAAATAAGAGGTTATAAGATTGACGGAGGAAGAAGTACAAATGAATAAAGACTTGTAGTAGGAATTTCGGAAGGTGGTTACACGTAATGAATCAATCTTATCCCAAAAGTTCATATTGATAAGGCTAAAAGAGGGAGACTTAAATACAAAATTTTTCCATCTTACGGTGAATTGGAAAAGAAAAAACAATGCTTTAAAGGGCTATTTATTGATGGTTTTTGGGTGGATAAGCCAAAGGAGGTAAGGAGTCATATGAAATTGTTTTTTCAAGAAAAGTTTCAGGAATAGATAGGGGAAAGACCTAATTTGAATAAAGCGTAGTTTAAACAAACTTCTGATTAACAAAATAATAATCGTATCTCTAAATTTGAAGAAGTGGAGATCAAACAAGGTGTTTGGGTAGCTCCAAGTACCCTAGATCGAATGGAATTAACTTCAAATTCATAAATATTTTAGATAATAGAATGAAAAAGGTTTTACCCTCTATTATTTATGATAGATAGAGAGCATTTCTAGAAGGGAGGAATCTATTGCAAAACTTATGATCAATGAAACTATAGATGAAGCAAAGAGAAAGAATAAAATTTATCTTAAATTAGAGAAACTAAAAAAGATTAAAAAAATAAGGATAAAAACTATTAAAAAAAATATTTTAAAAAGTAAATAAATCTTTAAAAAGTAAAATAATATTTTAACCATACTTATAGCATCTATTATATATTTGACTCTAACATGTTAATTGGGTATCTTGAGTCATTTATATGTATTTATTTTAAATGACTTTTTACTTCCAACTAAAGTAATACCATAACTTGTCTATGACAAAATATACAATTAATAGGAATATATAGGGATGGCAATGGACCCTATGGGGGCGGGTAGTAGTATACCCATCCTCGCCCTATAGGACAAAAACTCGTCATGTACTTGTCCCATATCCGTGTAGGTACTTGTTATACAGATATTCATGAACTTTTTAAATATTCACGGGTACTCATAGATATCCATGGATAATTATAATTTTTTAAGAAATAAAAAAATCATATTACATATAATTTTAAATTTGTATTTGATGTCATTGAAATGTTAAAAAAAAATTGATGTGAATTTTTAAATTTACATTTAACATTAATTTTGTTGATATTATAAAAAATAAAAAATAGAAGATAATCAATTACTTAAAATATATCAATCTCATAAATAATTGAAAGTCTCAAATCATAAGTTACAATAATCTAATATCATAATTTCAAAAAAAAAGTAAACAAATTAAAATACATAAATCTTATAGGTCTAAACAAAGCTAGAGAATCGATCAAATTACACCTATAATTCTATAACATGCTTAAAGCATGTTAAAAATCAAAACATTTTTAATTAGTGATGTTGATAACTTCATCAACCCCATTTTTGCAACTTGATTCCTGAAACAAAAAATGTCTAAATAAAATACTTACAATTTAAATTATAATTTAACTTGAAATAAAATGTTCAAAAATATATACTAATATACTAATATTGAAAATATATATATAACAGTATTTAAAAAAATTTATTAAACAAGTACCCGCAGGTATGAATACTATCATACCCACTCCTGTCCCATTTATAAATGAATAAAAAAAAATAGAGTTAATCACCTATATACTGCCGGCGTAAAAAAAATTACACTAGCAACCAATTATATCTTTTAATTGTGTCATGTCACTATAAACACATTTATTTTTAACAGTGACATGGCACAATTAAAAGATATAATTGGTTGTCAGTGTAAAACTTAGCACTGACCGTGTACAGGTAATTAATTCAAAAAAAAATCCATATCCGTTATTCACAAGTATTCATTTAGACTATTCATTTATTATTTGTAATAGATTTTATCAACAGATCCTCACAGATATAGGAGTTTTGTCATCCCTAAATATCAAATATAACGCTAATAGTTTTACTTGAAGTAATTAAATACTTTCCCTTTTTGACAGATCGTGAATTGTGATTTTCAATGGATTTGCATCTAGTGCCTTTGACATCGCAAGAGATATTGCACCACCAGTAGGTAAGGAGGTTCATATAACAATTCAAAGTCCCGATAAAAAGGTTATGGAGTTGGCAAATCCTGATATCATACAGAAGCATAAATTGGTATGTTAAACAATTACTTGTACAGCTTATGGTATTTACCTTTTAATCACAAACATCTGGATCTTGAAGAATTCGGTATCTCTGAATCTATTACTATATTTTTGGTTCATAATAAACCTCGGGAACCCAGTATTCTATTCAAACACAACAAACTACGCTACTTAATAACCAGTCAATTGGTTTCTTTTTATTGTTTTTTTTTTTTTAAAGCCAACGAAAATAATGTATCATAATTTCTTACCCGAGGATTGTCACAAGGTATAATGAATACAACGAAAGAATAATAAGAACAATAAGTTTTGGGCCTTACAAAACTCAAGAATATGTACCCAAGCCCCACCTCAAACAACTTAATAAATTTTCTGCTACATCAATTTACAAACAGCAATAACATGGTAATATCAGTACTGGATCACAAAAATTTTGCTGTCAAATTGGTAATAGCAGCTTCTTTTTTCCTTCCACTTGTGTGTGTATATATATATATATATTTCCCTACCATGTGCAAGAGATAGATCAATTGGTTTCAATCTCATGTCAAATTAGGCAACTACTTGATATGTACTGTACAAATCGCTGTCTTGTTAAAATCCTTTCTACTGACCTACATGAGCTAATCAAGTCTGATCAATATTTTACAGAAAAGTATAAATAAAATTAACTAATTCCCAAGCTACTACCCAAAACAATAATGTCTTGATTCATACCAATTCTCCAAGATCATTGTATCACCAATGCCACAATCCCACAGACACACCTCAAATGAAACAAGCACTATAATGCCACCATCAGAACCAAACAAATGCCAATTGAACACTCGGACTATTATGCACCGTAATGTCACATTCCCTCGAAACCAGCATCCTCCATAACATAATAGAAACCATCATAAACATATCCTATCAGACAGCTCTCTCAACGTTGTACCACAGTTCCAAGACAATAACCAAATCTACGGACGGTAGCTAAGTAATGACATGATCTTCCATGTATGGCATACCTTCTAAAATCTACACAGCTATTTAGTGGCAGATCTAATAACAAACTTATGATTCAATTGTGCGTCAGTACTCAGTTATAAAGCAAACACAGGACACAATAACACTCCATCATGAGACAAGGCATCATAAAACATACATGTATTCAATACGAATTAATGATGCAAAGTCAAAAAACTCCAAGTCATGGATTAACACTTGATATCCAAAGCTTAACCTTCAAAAGATATACAAGGAGACAGATAAAAAAAGTTCAGAATATAACACCGATAGTGGCAAATATAAGGCCGAAACCAAAATCCTTCATTCCATGGGGCTTTGACAACCTGGTAAGATACTTCAACGAGTAATCTATCTCCAATTCCAAAAAATGCTGACACTGCAACGAGAGTATAACGTCATCTATCTCCACTTCCAAAAAGATGCTGACACTGCAATGAATGTGAAAACTTCCTTAAGATAGTTTATTAGTGCGGCTTTATTGAGAATTATTACTATCATTAGGATACATAGTAGCATCCCTGAAAATTGGAAATTACACTAACTACTAGCAGTAACAAAATAACAACACAAAAACATTTCTTCTGAATTCAAACTTAAAAACATCGGTTTAAAAGGAAATAGAAATCTATTTAGATCGAGAGACACATATATATGATCCACATAAAAATAATTCAGAGGACGATGGATCATTACCTTAGTATCCTCAAGCAGTTGAAACTCCAACCGGAGAAAGATTCTGAATGAATTCAAATGATCTAAAGGCATAACCTTCGAACCAAGGAACACGCGACTCAATAATAGACTCAAATTCACTAAGCTCTGTGATGGTGTTATCCACAACATTATAGGAGAAGAGGGTTCCATCATGAAAGATCAACATAAGCATGAAATCTTGTTCCTTCTCTTGGCCAGCAACACACAACATATGAAATAATCGAATCAAAGTGTTTCCAATAAGAACATACAAGTCGTGTAAAGGGGCATGCACACGACTAAGATCCAGCCTGTGGAACCTCAGTGACCAAGCAGAGTAATCTTCCTTCAACTCGTAAATATCAAACAATAGTTGAGGAGACAGGAGCATCATATGCAAACGCCCCCGTGACTCACTGAAATGACTTTTCTCATGGTTCTCAATATTGGGTGGCATTGGGTACGTTTTCAGGCATTGATTTTCCACATCAAAGTAAAAGGACTCCTTAGCTTTAAGATACCAATGAACAGAACCATTGCAATAAACACCTAAATGCATCTTCATAGTTGAAGGGACAACGAAACAAACCCTAGTATCACTCCAACACGCTGTCTCAGAAGAATATATAGCAATCTTATGTGCATGTGTAGAATAGTCATCCCAATCTAATGTTGCATCACTCCAACCCAAACGATTTACAGATTGGACAGAAACAAGCTTGAAATGCAGAGACTTTAGAGGGTCATAAGCGAGAAAAAAATTACTCTTTTTCGGTACTCCTGTGATTGTGGCAAAACGCTTGGTGATTGGGTTACACACGAAGAGAGTGGAGGGTGATTGGTTTTCGTCCAGTGTCCCTTCAACAAGTAGCAAGCCGTTGCATGATTGAGTAACGTTAAGGAGTAAGTGGGGAACATTGAGGAAATCAAAGTTGATAAGAGTTGGAGTTGGAGGAGAAGAAGGAGTTGTGAGAGGGAAAATGGGCATGGGAGAGGAGGGACTATCAGAAGGTGTGAGCAACAAGGAAGAGGGAAAACGGTTAGAGGTGAGGTATCTACGAAGGAAGTGCGGGTCAGAAATGAGTGCATGCCATTGCTTTGAAACGCATTTGAAGGTGGTTAATGGTTTCCCTGGCAAACGGAGAAGAACCTCCGTCAAAAGGTCTTCCCTCTCGGCAATGAAAGAGAAGCACATTGGGAAGGAAACGGAGAAACCCTACTTCTCAGTTCAGTGGTTGTCACTCTGATTGATATGTATGTATGTCCTTCAAACTCCCATCTCCTTCCATGTCTTATCAGGGAAGTCTAAAAGTTTTCGGTAGCTTACGGAGGAAGCTTGCTTTTTTACTCTGAAATAATATAATCATTAAGAAAGGTTTTTTAACACCCAAATTTTTTATTTTTTTTTTCTTTTCAGTAAGTTTAAGACTTTAAGTGAGTTCAATTTTAAGGATCATGATGGTAAGAATAAGTTTCAACACTCTATAAGTAATTATAAAAAATATTTATTACTTATCAATAAAATTTTCACATCTTTTGATATCTTATTTTGACGGGTGTATTATAGATGTTATTTGAGGAATATTCGCTTCAAATTTTAATTAATACGCATTCCTTTTATTAATAATATATTCTCTTAATTTTTTTTTTCTTCGAGTACCAAATGTTACTATTTAGAAAAGTATTTTTTAAGTCTAAAAATATATTTATACTAGTAAAATTATCTTAAACTAAGGGTTTAATTAAAATTTATAATAATTTATAGATTTAAATATATTTTTAGTCATTTAAATTTAGGATAAATTTGTCATTGATCCTTCAAATTTAACACTAATGCTTTTATTTCTATAATTTTCAAAAATATTATTTTATTCTCTCATATTACCAATAACATTTTTAAAATTGATAAATTGAGACAATTATAGAGCATTAGTTGGATTCAACGTAATTTTTACTAACAAGAATATTAGTATCCAGATTTTATGAGATTCTCTAACAAAAGTTAAAAATAATTTTCGGAACAATCAAATCCTATAGATTAAGCACCAATAATTATCTTGTATGAGTGATAATGCGTAATTAATACATATTTTAGTATATTAAATTGGATTTATTTGACATTTAGTAGTGTCTTAAATTGACAAATTATTTGACATTTATTTCATTGGACTATTTTAGTTTTAATTTTAAATTCTACTTAGTTTTTGTAATTTTTGTCCACTTTGACATATTGTCTTGCTTAAGCTATATCTAGAGTTTCCAAACTTGGAATCAAATGTTTTTAGTGTCCCTAGAAAGCTAAGACAAATATCTATAACTTCTTTGTTGGAAGTTGCACCCAATTAGGACATTTAAAGGTCCAAAAAGACACCTCAATGTTATGTCTCTACACTTCATTTTGGGTTTACTTTAGGAACATATTGTATTAGTAATCTAACCTTATTAATTAGTTGATTATCGAGTCAAGCCTTGTAAATATTCTTATTAGGCCCACTGTATTACTTTATTAATAGGTTTTGTGAGACTTGTTATGTATATTTTACATTTATTTTTTAAATTTTAGTGTTGTTTCCTCTACAAATATATCTGTTCTTACCGAAGATCGGTCGTGAGGGACGATCTGCTGGGCAAGATTGGTGAGCCTGCTTCGCTGGGTACGTCGGCTGTTCCGAAGTGGCGGGCGTACCTGCAAAAGAGACTCTGATGCTAAAGTTAGTATATGCGGGTGTATGGGTCTCATATATATAATGCACGTACCTTGGTATGAATTAGGGTTTATCTAGGCCTTGGGCCTGAAGTTGATTATGATCCGTTCAGATAGTGGGCCTTTGTTCTGGCTGATGTCTGGTAGCGCTCATTCGATGTAGTTTAGCGCTTCAGTGCCGAGCTTGAGCTCGGTTTCGCGATACGGATAGTACACTAGCCCCTCGAGCTCCGAAGACCGTGGGTCGAGGAGTTAATAACGAGTTCAGTGAAGGGTCACGACTCTTCATTTATGCTTCTTTGGCGAAACACCATGTGTCATAAGTGCTGCCTCGTTTCCTGAAACGCATGGGCGACATGTAATGAGGGGTGACGATTTTGCAATGATGGGGTGTACCCGTCATTATGGGCTTCATTTAATGCCTTGTCAGTTTTATCGTTTTCCGCATTTCATTCAAAATACTTTGCCTCTCTCTTTTGCACTTTGCGCTTGCACTTCTTTGGCTTCCCTCGCACACCAGCATTTTCTCCACACCTTTCTCTTCGTCTTCTACCCTCATTGTCTTCGTTCTACTCTATCGTCGTCGTTTCCGGCAATTAGGTCACTGTTCTTTGCTACTGTCCTATCACTGTCAAAGGAGTACCAGGTACTTCTCCTACTCTGTCTTCTCCTCCGTTTTTTCTCTTTGCCAGTTTCCTTCTTCTTCGTTTGGTCATACTGAGAGAATGGCCGGTGAAGGTAGTCAAGGTTCTATCCCCCTAAGGCCGCTGCTAGGCAGGCCAAGGGGAAGGTTAAGGCGAAAACGGTCGCTGCTGGTGGCGAGCCTAAGGGTAAGAGGGGGGTGTAGACACCCAATTTCGTCCGGGGGCATACAAACAAGGACATGGACCTCTGTTACGAAGGGAAGGAGCTCCCGAAGCATGCCAGCACTTTAGAGGGCCCAAAAGCACAAATTAAATATTTTTATTGGCCCAGAACGGGCCGTTCCAAAATCGAAACAGGTCGTTCCAAGGTCCAGAACTGGCCGTTCCGAGGCTCCTTTAAAGGCCAAAAACCCTAATTTGGAACGGGCTGTTCTGAAATTGGAACGGGCTGTTCCAATATTAGAGTGGGCCATTCCAAGATTGGAACAGGTCGTTCCAAACTCCTTAAAAAGGGCTTAAATGGTTAACTGGAACGGGGCTGGAACGGGCCATTCCTAAATCTAGAACGGGCCGTTCCAAGGCCGTTCCAGTCTAAGAAATCACATGTTATTCTCACTAATGGAACGGGCCGTTCTGATTTCAGAACGGGCCGTTCCAGTATACGAATTTTACATGCAACGGCCATATCCAGAACGGCCGTTCCGATTTTGGAACGGCCTGTTCTAGACCCCCTTCCCGAAGTTTATAAATAGACAGCTGGGGCTCATTTTTCCGGGCTCAGAAATTTCGTCCAAAGCTCCTTAGAGCTCGAAATTTCTCCCTTTTTTCTCTCTCTCTCTCCTATTGTACTTCTTGAGTTTTGTGAGGCTTATTGTAGTGTGAAAGGTTGCCACAAAGCACCTAAAACCTCCATAGTTAAAGATCCAATAAAGCTTGTTACGAGGTATTACTCATCAATCTCTTGTTTTATCTTTCTCTTCCTTTTGTTTTACATATTAATATAACAAACACAATTATGTAGATATTTTAGGGGTTTACCGTGTAATTTAATTTTCATGTAAATAATCATTAATAAAGGGGATTAAATATTTAAACTATTAATTATTATTACGTTATCTTCATCATAGGGTACCGATTTAGGGCGTTGTAGGGATGCTTAATACCTTCCTTACACGTAACCGACCCCCGAACCCAATTCTGGTTATCAAGGCCATTATTGGACTTTTAAAAATCTTTTCTTTTTCCAATGTTTTGAGTAAAACATTGGTGGCGACTCCACGAACTTATTTTCAAAACCATTGATTAAGGATTAGTCTGGTGTCCGGGCATTCCTTAATTGATGAGATCTTTAAAAGGACGTCTAAACCTTAGGTCGCAAGATCAGAATTTTTCGGGTTGCGACAGATGGCGACTCCACTGGGGACGTTTAAAGAGGGTCAGGCCCATTTAATTGATGAAGTTAATAAAATAAAAATAATAAATTAAATATTTCTCCCCTTTACTTTATTTGTTTTATTCGTTTGGCTTTAATATCTGTTTGTTTGTTTGTTTAAATTCTATACCTTTTTAAATAAAATTGTACACAATCCTTTGCACACAACAGTTCCCCCTACACCCGGGGGCATGAGGGTAATAAACATAGGGAGTGGTTGACGTACGACCGGCCCAAGTTTGGCCTTGGAGCCTGCGAGCCTTGTCGGAAATCACACTCAAGGTGATAACCGGTTACTCTAGCCCGAAATACTGCGACAGACCTTAGAGTTTGCCAGGTGACGGCGACAAAGATACTGGGTCCCTATAATGGGGGCACCTTGGGGGCCTTAAGACCAGTGAGATTAGAATTGTCCTATACATTGCACTTTTCTTGCAAGGACCACAAACCAAGGATTTAAACGTGACTGTTCGCGGGTGTACATTTGTTTAAGCATATGTGTGTTGCATTTGTTTGTGTTTATTTATTTCAAATGGATAAGAATTACAAACAAATAGATATTAATAAAAAAATATGATGAAAATTTTAACTCCCTTCTGTATACCCCAACTCTAAAGCATCATATAGGGTAGTTTATTTCAACAAAAAAAATATAGCAAATATCATGCAGCTTTTAGTTTAGCATATGCATTCATTAGATAATGGAAGGCACATAGTACATAAAGATTTTTGAGAAAGGAGCTTGCATAGTTAGCCACTCCTACATGCCTATCATTACATGATCATCCCTTGTCCTTTGTATGATAACCAAGTAGTGTTTTTGTGCTGAAAAATATGCTAAGAAAGTGTGTGTACTTGCTGAAAAAATCTGCACCAAAATAGTACATAGTAAAAGACACATTCCACCTTACAAAAGTTAATTTGTTGCATGCCAATTGTCCTTTTTGTCTCCTACTTGTTTGTGCTACTTTTTATTCACCCACAAGTGTAAAATCCAAGAAACATAACAAGATTAAAATTAAAAATAAAAAAAATGCCCTAAGAGCTGACCCAAAAGCTGGCGTGAAAATACAAGGAAAAACAAAAAAAAAATCAAAAAGAATTTTTTGCTAGACTTGTGGACAATTTATCAATATACCCTTGCACACTTGGAGTTGGACTTGGACTACTTTTGGACCCATTTTGACACCAAAACCTTGGCTGGACAATAAGGATCAGACCTCACATTTTTAAGGACAAGAAACATTAAACACTTAATTCTATTCTAGAGCCCTTTTAGGATTTCCTTTGGGTGCTTGCCTTCTTAAACTTGCCTTAATTTTTTGCTTGTCTTGGAATTCTTTGTGTTTTGTATCATCAATATTCCCCTTGAGTTTAGCCTTACTAATTTAGCCTTTTTAGTTTTATTTCTTTGGCCTCCTTTCTTTCTCTTGGTTGGTTTGTTTACTTGGTGTAGATGAAGCCTACTTCCACATTTCTATGCAACTTTGGGGC